ACATGTGCATGAGGAGACAGTTCCAAGGACATCTAAGGTACCACAGGGATTAAAACACAAAAAAGGGGTCTCCACCTCAGTATCTTCAGTATCTACAATAATGGAGTTGGCAACTAAAATGTGGTGTTGTATAGCAGTTAAAATATATCTAGTTGCAGGATTTTATATTTTCTGAATTATACTTCCACAAAGTTGCCATACACACATATGCACACGTACCTATTTGTATTAACGTGAATACATCTCAAAAACAATATTGCAAAAAAAGGAAATTTCAGAATAATACCACTAGTCCACATTTAATTTTAATAAAAATCACAAAAACTTTACTCTCTGTGATTTATGGATATAAACACGTGCAGTGGTGCAGTTCCTACCAAGTTCACACTTGGGGTGGTCTTGGTAACAGAGAGAAGGAGCTGAGGCTCAAGCGGACATTCTGATGTGTCAGTAACACTTCTTTTAACAAAGTCCTGAAGCAGAAATGACAGCATGTTATGTTAATTCTGTTGGTTTTGTTCTTTTAACTTTTTTATGTTTAAAAATTTTCAAAATTAAAAAAAAAAGTCATCTGGGATGTCAGAGGAAAGGCATTGACTTTTCCCAGGGACGTCAGGAAAGACTCCAAAAGGAGGTGACAGCTGGGTGTTGAAGGCAGGGTGGGAGTTGGCAGGTTGAATTGGGTGTGGGCGAGTCGGGAAAAGGAGATGTAGGTGTTTAAGGCCAAGGAATACGTGGGCAGGCTCTTTGCACTTTTTAAATGCTTGTTGAATGGCTTGTGTTTGCCAAGCTGCCCCTCCCCTGCTACCTTCCTCATCCCTGTGCCCTGAGTCCAGCTTCTCTATTTCTGGGCTGTGTACATAGTAAATAGGCTCTTGAAAAAAAGTCATGTGTCATTTGAAGATTTGTAAAGTCTAGACAGTCTAATGAGGGTTGAGGGAGGAATGAGCTAAATATATAAAATTGAACATTAAAATGGGGAAATAGCCACTGATACAGAGAATATAAGAAGAATTCCTAGTGGATACTGTGCTCAACCACATACAAATTAAGCTGAAAACTAGCTTCAACTGTTTTCTGAGAAAATATAAATCATCAGTTCGGCCCCAGAAGACCTAAAAACCGCAATAGACCAATAGTCATGGAAGAGACAGAGGTTTCATAAAGCTCCATTCCAATAAAACCCAACTTTAGATAGCTTTTAATTTCTATCAAGCCTTCAAGGAAGATATAATTCCAATGTCATTTAAACATAAAAAACATAAACATTAAACATAGAGAAGGGAAGATTCCAAATTAATCTATAAAGCCAGCACAATGTTGATAAAGCACAAAAAAGAAAAATTACTAAAACAAATCTCATTTATGAATATTGGTGCAAAATTCATAAATTAATTGCAACAAATAGAATCATACAGCATCATGTTAAAAAGATGAATGCACCACAAGCAAGTGGAGCTATATTCCAGAAATACAGATTCATTAGGAGAACTATTAAAATAATTGAGCAAACTAATAGTCAAAAGAGATGAAAAATGCTAAAAATGTCTAAAAGGGATTTGATAAAATTCAACATATGTCTAATTTTAACCCTTATTTAATAGGAATAGGTAGCTATTGCTTAACATGTTCTGCTTATGTGTGTGTGTGTGTATATAGAAATACATATAAGAGAAAAATGACCACCATTACCTTCATTCTTTAACACTTCTTTAGAGGTACAAGCCAATACAAAGTTTGAAAATAGAAGCTATAAAAGGAGGCAAATTTATCAATTAAAATTAATAAGATTGGCCACCTGGAGAAAAACAAACAAGATAGTCTATTGAAAAACTATTAGAAATAGTAAGAGAATATACTAAGATGACTGCTAATATTAAAAACACAAATGAATAGCTTTCCTGTATATATGAGCTTCAGCCTCCTTTAAAATATAATAGAAGGAAACATTTGTGATATCAGTAAAAGCGCTACACATAACTAGAAGTAAATTCGGTCAGAGGTGGCAAGAACATCTCTGATCGCTGCTATTCACTCCTGGTTCCCTGGCACTTAGAACAGGGCCTGACACCTAATAGATTTTTGTCGCCTGGTAGAACTGGCTCACAGATCAATGGAATCTAGACAAAGACCTAAGCACTTTCGATGTGCATTGGTGATCATAGCCAGAGCCAACATGTAGTAGTCCCCATGTGCCAGGCAGTGTTCTATGCCCCTTGCCTGTTGACTATTGATTGCCTGTTGATCTATCCTGGAGAATATTCTCTGTGTGCTTGAGAAGAATATATTTGCTGCTGTTGGGTGGTGTGCTATGTGTATGTCAGTTGGGTCCGATTTGTCTCTAGTGTTGAATATATCAAGTCCTCTACGTCCTTATTGATCTTCTGTCTAGTTGTTCTACCCATTATTGAAAGTGGGTTATTGAAATCTCCTACTATTGTCCCTTCAACTCTGTCAATGTTTGCTTCATATACTTGCGTGCTCTGTTGTTAGGTGCATAGGTATCCATAATTGTTACATCTTCCTGGAAAATTGATGCTTTTTCATTATATAATATCCCTTTTTGTCTCTTCTGTCCGTTTTTGACTTAAAGTCTATTTTGCCTGATAGGAGCTTGGCCACCCTGCTCTCTCTGGGTCACCACTTACATGGAATACTTTTTCCATCCTTTCACTGGCAGCCTGTGTGTGTGTGTGTAGCCAGCTAAGGTGAGCTCTTATAAATTACACATAGTTGCACCTTTCTACACCCTTTACCTGAAATAACTCATTTAATCCTCACCATAACCCTAGGCTGATGGTGCTATTGATCCCCATTTTTAAATGAGGTGACTGAGGTGCAGAAAGGTTTGGTAACTTCTAGATCCAGGGAGGCTGGAATTTGAAGCAGCACTTGACTCAGAGATCATGCTCTTTGTGTCATTCCCACTACATAGTTAAATGGAGATTTTGAATCTAGAGGGAGGGAGGGAGGGAGGGGGGAAGGAAATGGATTATTAAACATGACTTTGAGACAACTATCTAGCTCTTTGGGGAAAAAAATAAAGCTGGATCTTACCACACTCCTTATACCAAAATAAACTCTAGAAAAAAAAGATTTAAAAGAAGGAAAGATAAAAGAAAGAAATTCTGATAATACTTGCAGAAAACACAGACAAATATTTTTAGAATTCTCTAGTAAGGTATAGTTTTGTCTACAGAAAAATCTGAGACTTCCATAAGCAAAAGATGCCACAAATAAAGTAAAAGGAAGACAAATGACAATTTGCCATCCAATGACAAAAAATTAATTGCCTTAATTTAGAAAAACCTCTTTAAAATTAGGACATTAACAGATAGTTCACAGAAAAAAATAAATGCAAAGGCCAGTCAATCAATAAATATGAAAATAATGTCTGGCTTTAACACTAAAACAAGAGATCATTTTCAACTCTCATATTGGCAAAGTTAAAAAATTTGACCATGTGTCAAGGGTGGGGGCAATAGGCACTCTCATTCCTGGCTGGGGTGTGCAAACTGGTTTATCCTCTTCAGAAGACAATTTGGCAATATCTCCCAGAATTTTAGGTGCACCTGACCTTCACCTAGGGATTTATACTACAGCTAACCTCACACATATGCACACATATATAGAATCAAAGATGTTCATTGCAGCTTTGTGCAACAAAAATGTAGGAACAACCTAAACCCATCAATAAGGACAATTCATGTAAATTACAGTGCATCTTTTTCAATGGACCACTATGAGTGGCTATAAGAATGAAGGTTCTGTCTGTGTTGGTATGTATTAATGTGTGGTGTATATTCATAAAACCAAGATAGAGTACCAGGAATATATAGGCGTATATAAATATTTGTCAGTGTGTTGATGGAAAAATTCTCAGGGAAAACTTAAGCAGGAAACTTGACAATGTTATGTTTGGGAGTAGAAGAAAGGTCTGAGATAGCAGGGGGACTTTGCATTGTGTATTACTTTAAATGGTTTGATTTTTTTCCCCCAGAAGCATGTTATTTTCTGAATTTAAAAAGAATATTTAAGAAGAAACCACTTATAGAGGGAGAACACTATTTAAAAGTCCTCACCTTAAACTTTCTTTTTAAATTTGTTACTCAGTGCATTCTCCTCTTGTTACATTCATAATTTTAAATCTGGAAGGCCCCAAGAGATCATCTCCAATCTTCATTTCATCCATGAGGAAAATGAGACCTAGAGAGGCTTCAGCCAGTGCCCCGGGGACCCCTGGCTTGTCTGTCTACTGAGTGCACCCCTCTGAGGCTGCCTTAAGGAAAAGGGAGCAATGACCCTTTTATACATGGGATCAAAGCTTCTCCCTTGGACTTGGGGGCCCTGTCTCAGCATGTAATCCAGCGAGTCTTATTTTACGTGCATCCGCATAGAAACCTGTTAATATCCTGATTTGCAGGCGCCTTCCTGGAGACTCTCCTTCAATGGGCTAGCTTAGGGTCCTTAAATCTGCATTTTAGCAAGCCCCCTGAGTGATTCTGAAGTCCTACTTGAAGTCCCCTGAAGGTGATCCCCCACCTCTGCTCTCCCCAGCTCAGCCTTGCTGGCAGTGTCTGTGTATCTAGGTTGAAGCCCCCCACCCCAGCAAGGGAGAGTGGGGTTCTCCAGCTCACCAGTGGCGAAGTCACAGAGCAGACCTAGGTGCTTGGACTCCCAATGCAATATTCCATCCCTGGCGCCCCTCCCCTCCAGCCTTCTCAGCTGGGATGATGGATGACTCCCCAGCTCACCTCCCTCCAGGGCTGGGTAGCTGGATGTGGAGGTGGGTTGCAGATTGGGGGTCATGGCTGCATCTGGGATGCCTCTCAACCCCTCAGCACTCACCTGAGGCAGCCCTCTTGGGAAGGTGCTAACAAACATCTTGGTGCTAGAAGGGGCCTGGCCTGCTTGGGCTGTGGGAGGAGCTGTGGGGAGGCTGGGGAGGACTAAGACCCATGCTTGCCTGCTGAGAGTGCTTCCTTGTTCCTGTGCCACAGAGCCACGGAGAAGCCTTCATCTTGGATAGAAATCAAGCAGGGACACAGCTGGGCCACTCAGAAGCACCTGAGGACTGATCAAAAAGAGAGAGGGCCAGCAACAGCAAGCTGCCTGGGCCCTAAACTAGACCTGCTGCTCCAGGTAGGCACTCTTGCCATGATCCCACCCACAGGGCTAAGCCCCCAGCACCAGCTCCGTCCTCAAGCCAGGACGGGGCCACCCACTGCCCATGGCCTGTGGCTCTCCAGCCAGTGTTTGGACGAAAGCTGTGGATGCGTGCAGGAAAGTCCAATCCCCTCTCCAAAGGACACTGTCCCAGGTGACCCTGGCTCCTGAGGTATGGGAAGGGGGTCAAAGACTCTCTGGTTCTGATTAGGATGCCCCCTGCCCTGCAGAAAAACCCTAGGCTAAGCTGCTAGCTGGGACCCAAATGGCTCTTGCTCAGCTGACCCTGGTTTGGAAGAGGCCCAGAACCCGGCTAGACATGGTTCTTCCCAGAGTTCCCTGCCTCTCAATATTTTTTTCTCAGGAAAGGATTATGACAGATGATATCTTCACAGACTCTTAGAGCTGGAAAGGATCTTTGAGATATAATTCAACCTCAGTCTCCTTTCACTTCACAAGCATTATGTATATCCATAGTGTCCTTTAAAATGTTGTAGCTGAACATCTCAGAGGAACCAGATGTTACCTCATCCAAACAGTACAGGAAGCCCTTGGGTCTCAGGTAGCCCTTCCTAGGCCCTACTGCCTCCTCCCCGCGTGGCCTCAGCCAGCCCCTGCCCCCGGCACCTTTCCTCTCCTTTCACCTACCTGGTGACTTCTAGCAACTCACCCACCTTTGTGAGAGGGACACTGGCAGTGTGGACATCCAAAACTAGAAGGTGTTAAGGCCAAGTTAGCATCAAAGTGAGGCTTTCTTCCATATTTAAGTAAGTCAATAAATGAAACCAAGAAAGGATTGCATAGTAGAGGGAGGCTATAACAGTGTCTATATAAGCATCTCTAAAATCTCTTTTCCATGAAAAAGTTGTCCTATATGGGTTGACCAAGAACATTGCTACTATCAATAAAAGTGATCTTAGATACAACTCTTTTCTGTGTAGATCAAAGTGCTTGGTGTTCACATCTCCCTTCTAATTTCCTGGTCCAGCCTCCTGCGAGCCCTCCAGAGCAAGGAGTCAGCGAGTCAGTATTTCATTTCTGTCCCTCCAGCCATGCTCAGTGCCCCAGCCCACACTGGGCCTTGTTTGTCTAGATTACTGTGACTGGCAGCTTTGAATAGTGGTAAAGAATGGGGGCTCCGGAGCCTGCAGGGTGCAATTCCCAGCTTCACCAGCAGCTAGCCTGTAATTTCTGTGTAAGGCAGTCTTTTCATCTATAAAATGGGGAAAAAAACAGTACCCTGCAGTGACTGAGAAAATTAAAGTTAATATCTATAAAGCACTCAAAACAACATGCAACATGCAGTGAATATTTAAGGCACATTAGCTCTGGTTCTTGCAAAAGCTGTTCTCCTGCAACAACTCTGCCTCCTGACTCACCTCTGCGAAGCACAGGGTTGCCATCTCACTACCCTGCCCTAGAATCAGCCAGAGCTCCTACTGCCTGTTTAGTGACTATGCTTTAACCTGCCCTTGAATGGTCTCAAAGGCAGAAACTCAGCATTTTCCTCACATCCAATAGAGAATCTGTAGTGTCTGCTGAGGAAGAGGTTTTCACCCTCAAGGAGATTGAACTGAGTCCCTAAGGAACTAAAGTGCAGCCCCCTTCAGCCCCTGGTAGGCAGGTTGCTCCAAGCTCTTCAGCCTCCCCAGCCATGGCCCAGCTGTGAACAACCCTGGATGCTGGGCACTGGGTCTACACACAGGGGGAGGTTTGGTTTCCCATGGATCTGCTAGGGTCTCAAAGGCAGGCAGCCCTGTCTAGACTCCCAGCCTCGTGGTACACATCAGAGTAAGGAGAAGCCAGAAAGGCAGTGACACAGTTATAGCACACACTCTTGCATGAATTCAGGCCGGGTGGCAGACATGACATCACTGTCCTCATTTATCCCTGGGAGGTGGCCAAAACTTCAGCTCCCATAGCTCAGGTGGGCAGCCCAGGCCAGCAGAGACCACTCCTGACCTGGTGCCTCAGAGAACTCGGCAAGGCCCCACCCTTCATCTCAGCTGCTTCCCTGGCAGAAGAGAGGCCACATACTATGGAAGAACAAGTACTAGGTTTAGGTAGGACAGACCTGGGTCCGAAACTAGGCTCCTCACCTGGTGGGGAGTCTACCTGTCATTTCTAGAATATTCCACTCTCTGCTTCCCTCCTTCACTCATTGTTCCCCTCTGCCCAAAGCCCCTGTCCTCACTGGTTTCTGTTACCCTAGAAATCCCACCCGCCACCTCTCTGGAGCCTTCCCTAGGGGTGTGATCTCTGAGCCACATCACCTTGACTTGTGCCTTTCTCTTTGTGGCCCTTACTCTTCCCTGGGTGTAGGCCTTGGTTTAACTGTCTGATCTTTCCACCTGGCTGGAAGTGCCTTGGCCAGGGCCTGGGGCTCTTTCACCTCCAGCAGGTGTAGGGCTCAGCAGACATTGGCTGTACTGAGTATGCTCTGGCTCCAAGTACCCCAGCAATACTGGGATAAGCCAGGGGGGAGTCTATGGCCCACTCGGACAAAGAAGGCAGAAGCAGGAAGCCAGCAGAAACGGACAGTGGGAACAAAATACAGATGAGATACCACAGAGGAACTAGTGAAGGAAGGAGAGAGAGATCACCAACATATTTTTTCCCGAGAGGCAGACTGTCAAAGACAGGAGGATGGGTCTCTTCTTCCCCATAAATAGTTACTACTCCCTTCAGCATCCCAGGCTAGTGCTTCCTTGTGTCTAACTAGAATACCTCTTGCTGCAGCTGGCACTCATTTCCTCTCCTACCTCTGGATTCAGGCTGCTGTTCAAGTTTTCCTTCAGCATGGATCAGAGTGATTTCCCTGACCCCCACTCCAGAGGCAAGAGCAAGGCTGGCCCCTGCCTGGGGGCTTGTGCTCTACTTGAGGGGGCCAGTGACCCCAGGAGACACACAGAGACTGCTGGGGGCCAAAGTATGGGGGCACCATAAGTCGCGGAGGTTGTGATAGCCAGTTGCCTCTCAGCCCTGCTTCAGGGCTAATCTTCATTACGAGAAATTCTGTACATACAGAGTCCCCACCGCAGTAGCATGGTGATTCTCAGGCCCCTCATGTTCCGGCCCTTTCTGCCTACCAGGCCCCGTGAAGCCATGTGAGCCAGACCCTCGGCCCCTGCCATCTGGCTCCCCACTGTCGCTGGAGCAGCTGTGCCCAGAGAGAGCCCCTCCCTCCGCCTCTCCACAGCTCCTGCCCCCAAGGCAGCCACCTGGCTCCTGCCCTATTTAGACAGATGGGGCTGGAGCCTGGTGTCCCTCCCATCTCTGCCACCCTGTGGAGTGGTGCCTTTCCATCTGGGGGACGGGAACTCCCCCTGGGCGGAAGCCTCCATGCAGTCTGAGCCCGCCTCCCTCTTTGCTTTGCACATGTGAGGTCTCCTCCTGGAGTCCCAGCTCCTCTCCAGGTCAGAGGCCTCCTATGCACTCAAAGCTAGGAATGGGGCTGCTGAAATCTTGGGGTTGTTGTGAGGATTGAAAGAGTTCATGCTTGTGGAGTCTTAGCACAGTGCCTGGCAGTGAGCCCTCAAGTAATATGACTTCTTCTACCCATCCTTTAAGAGCTGCCTTGGTTAGCACCTCCTCCGGGCTACTCTTCGGGGTTGGCCTCAGCTCAGTCAGGTGCTCCTCCTCTGTGCTCCCAGCACCCCTTCACAAAGCCTCTGGAGTGCACTTATGCAGACCTGTCATGGTGTTCCTTTGTGGTGGGGGTGGTTTCTGTACCCACAAGGATCTTGTGCCTAGACTACAAGGGCCTTGAGTGCAGGGATCAAAGTCTGGCCCACTATTTTGCTGAATAAAGTATTTCATGAGTGCCAGATAGGCAGCTGAGAAAGTCAGACTGAGAGAACAGGCTTGACCCTGCCAGGCTTGACTTTTCCAGGGCCTGTGCTGAAAGATCAGGATGCCCACACCGAGGCCTGGGGGATGCAGAGAGGGCTGAGGAGGAGCCCATCCCTTGTCATATGGTCTAATGCTTCGATCCTGAAAGCATGGTGTCATCACCAACCAGGAACTTGTTAGAGATGCAGATTCTCAGGCTGTACCCCAGACCTACTACATCAGAAACTGTGGGGTGGGGCCCAGCCATCTGTGGTGTAACAAGCCCTCTAGGTGATGCTGATGTACCAGAGCCCGAGAGTCACTGCTCTAATGTTTCAAAGCAACTCAGACTCATAGGACTTGGTTTCTCTTGGGGGTTTCTGCTCTACTGAAGGTTTCCGAGAATGCTATCAGGCTGGGTGCACAGGGAAAGGCTTTTGCTGGACCCACTCTCCTGAGCTTGAGACCCTTCTGCTGACAGGGTAGGTGCAATGGAGGACAAGCTCTCTGTAGACCTCCCCCTTCCCAGGTGGCTAGAGACCACAGCAGGTGCTGCTCCATAGGCCTTGATGCTAGTCCCTCCCCATTGCCATTGGCCAGTATTCCCTTGAAGTTCCTGCAGCAGGGGCCCCAGGGCAGACTTCTGGAACGTTAGGGCTTGAGAGAAGCTCTAGAGATCATTGGCTATATGCACATATGCTCATACACACACCAAAACACAAATAAGCACACACACACACAAATGCATAGACATATATAACTCAACATACACACGTATGAACCCATAAACATGCATGCACCCCAAAATATGCACAAGTACCCAAAATCCAAATTATAGTCAAAAAAGCATTCCCACGCATATCCAAATACCCTCAAAACATACACAGACACCCTACACACACACACACACACAAAACAAAACAAAACGTTGATACACCTCAAAATACACAAGAACAACAGACATTTATTCTCTTGTAGTTCAGGAGGCTATAAATCTGAAACCAGGTTGTTGGTAGAGCTATGCTCCCTCAGCAAGCCCTGGGGGATAATCCTTCCTTGCCACTTTTTAGCTTCTTGCTGGCAACCCTTGGCATTCCTTGATTTGTAGCTTCATCATTCCAGCCTCTGCCTCTATCTTCTCTGTG